ATGTTCATGTGGATCACATCATTCAGGCACATAACGAGAGGAATGTAGCACCAGGACATGTTGATAAACTTGACACAGTTTCAGATGATCATCATCATGATGATGTCAAAGATGATGTTTCCCAGCATCCACTCACTGTGTCAACTGATTGTAGTGATGATATGTCTGTCACTGATAATGCACAGAGTGCAAGTGAAACCCTGTAAAACTTGATGGAGGGAATAGTCCTAGAAGATGAAACAGAGTTAGGAGACCTGTAATTAAATTAGACCTCTAATTATCTGAATTGTGAACAGGCCTTTCAAAACTGTTTAGTTAGGAAGTTATATTTGTTGTGTTCTATTCTCTTCTTCCCTACCATATGTAATTCTGTAAGTTTTGTTTATTTAGGATTTGTAGCAGCCATGCTCTCTTTTGAAAGGGAGAAATAGTGATATATATATGTATGTTTATATGCTGCCTTTATTGAATATATATATTATATATTATGTTACTTCTTACCAAAGTCAGAAAGTGTTTAGGCTTGTGTAAACACGAAATGTGTTAGGCACGTGGTAACCAAGAACAGAGAATAAACAACCGGCCAGACAGACCATGTGACTCGTCATTCTCCCAGTAAATAACGCAAGATACTACACCATTAATGCTCACTCGCTGTTTCCTGTCCTGTAACCACGCCCTAATCCATTTTAGGACATTACCTTTGATGCCATGTGCTTCTACCTTTCTAATTAGTCTTTCGTGGGGGACTCTGTCGAAGGCTTTGCTAAAGTCGTGATATACCACATCATAATTGTGCCCCTCGTCCACCGATTCGAAAACTGATGAAAAGAATGTTAATAGATTAGTTAGACATGAACGTCTGCTTGTGAAGCCATGCTGGGAATCATTGATCAATCGGTGCTTCTCCAGGTGATTTCGAATAGTTTGAAATGATTGCTTCCAGGAATTTGCCTACTATTGATGTTAGACTGATTGGGCGGTAGTTAGAGGATAGTGATCTATCCCCCTTCTTGAAAATCGGTAATACATTCGCTATCCTCCAGGATTCTGGTACTACACCTGTTTTTAAGGACATGTTAAACAACTTTGCTAATGGCATACTAAGCTCTTCCTTACATTCCTTTAATACTCTGGCAAATATCTCATCAGGACCAGGTGACTTATTGGGCTTTAGTTTGTCTATTTGCTTACTAACATCACTACTAGTCACTACTATCTCGCTTAATTTGTTTTCTTCACTATCTCTGAATATAGTCGGTGCCTCGGGTATCATGTTTAAATTTTTGGAGGTGAAAACTGTTGAAAAATATTTATTCAAATTATTGCTCATTTCTCTGTCGTTATCAGTGAGCTCGCCGGTATCTGACCGTATAGGTCTGATACATTTATCCTTTTTTCCCAATCAATGTTCTTTTATAGTTTCATCGGTTCCCTGTGGTAGTTATGTTCACTAATCGTTCACAGACGTCAATAGAATGACCTTCAAACACGATTTACATTTAGCCCTTATAGTACACTAATCCGTACTGATTGGTCTCTCCCAACCATCTTATAGATACCTTGAGTTCTCCTTAATACTATGAGTGCACACACTTAATATTATATACCCGTACCTGGGTACAATTCATCAAATAATTCAGTAATATTCAGTTGGTGAGTTATTCTTTATCAATGTTTCCCGTTTTCTGAGATTCTACAAACACGGTGGATTTGAATGTTATGTGGCGTAAAATGAATTAAAGAGTTTTGTAGGGATGACAATGATGTGCGCAGTACAACAGTACTTCAGATGAGGGAAGCACTTCACTCTTGAAGATCGTTACGAGGGACGGACCGTCTAGATATCTGAACGACCTTCTTATAAGACCCAATAATTTATTTGCCTGATTTACCTTCTTCTTGCAATGGTCCGAGAACTTCAGCTCATTGTCAATATACACACCTAGGTCCTTCTCACATTCAGTCTCAAAAAGTGCATACAACGCAGGAATGCCCGGAAAAAGACAAAAAAATATGTTCCAACTGTGCTGGCGAAGATCACACATTCAAGGAAGGCAAAATCACAACTACAACAGGATTCCTTAATTGCAAGAGGAATGGCGATACATACCATACTCACAGGACACTAGCAATGGCGTGCCCAACAAAGAAACATATGATCAAATACAAAGAACGGGAGATGAGGGGGAGGGAACAAGAGAAGCAGGAACACGACAAATGTGAAAATAGCAAAAAGGGCAGTGCAACAAATAAACAATCCGGAAGCAACCATACTAAGAGTGAGCGAGGCAATGCATGACAAAAAGACGATAAGCATGATACACGCACACCTACACAACATCATATTGTAGCGTAGTGTATGTGGCCAGTTGTCTATTTTCTCTTTGTTAGGCTCACGTACATACGTACATGTAGGAGATCTCAAGCTAAGGATGGAGGTGAGAAAGGAAACTCACAATGGCGTTTTCTTTATATATATATTACATGTACAGAACAGTCAGGTGCTGGGAAGTTGCTGCATGGTAGAGGAGTTGCTGTGGAGGAGCTTCTTTAGAGAAGGTCTAACCTACAGTCAGTCAGTCAGAACATCGAGATAAGAGAGCCATGGCTCTAAGGTGAACAAGGAGATTTAGGGCAAGGTATAGTTAAGAAGTGGGAAGTACAGAAGAAGAATGATAGCAGGTGGGCTTTCCACCTTGCGGAGGCTGGTTTGTGGCTTAACCAGTGACAGACGTCCCTCAGTCCTCCAGGGGCAAGGGAGGTTAGATAAGCTAAGCTAACAGTGATGATGATGATTAGGGCCCGGATAGTTATGCATTTGCATATGAAATATGCAAATGCATATTTTGCGTGATTTCTATGATAAGTGCATATTACCTAGATAACTGCATATAAATGCATATTTTGGTAAAATATTCATCTGGCAGTATCTCTTTGTTGCCACTGAATGAGCACACGTGGTACTGGGAGGTGAGGTGAGGTGTGGTTAGGTGAAGTGAGGTGAGGTCACGTCGCTTTAATCTGTCGTTTCCACACCTGGTCATGACTCATTGGACTAGTGAGTTAGTCAGTCAGGAGCAGTGCTGCTGTGTGGAGCTACTCTCTTCTGCTGATGATGATGATGATGGGATGGAGAGAAGAGAACCATTGGCTCAGGAAGGTGGAAGACGGTGTAGGAGGAAGGTAAAGGTTATGAAGTGGGAAATAAAGAGGGAGATTGATAGCAGGTGGACTGTCCACCTTGCGGGGGCGGGGTAAAGTCAGCCATGTCAGCATTTCAGGTCCACTACAGAAAGGGAAGGGAAGCCAAGCTAATCTAAGCTAAGGTAGCTTGTGGTGTTTGGGGAGGGGGGGCCCTCCATGTCCTTTGAGTCTCTTGGTTTTCATTTTGTATACGAGTTTGTTGGCTCTGGATCTGTGTTGTCATTGTTATTTTCTTTGGCCACCAGTTGTGTGTTCTGCTAATGTCTTCTTGCATTAATTGTTGGAATATGGGGTCTTCTAGTTCTTGTAGTTTCATATTGCTAATGTTTTTTGTATATGGGTTTTTGCTGCTCATCTATTTAGACTGTGTTGGAATTTATTATCGGGCAGGGTGACCTAATTGAGGTGTATAAGCATCTCAAAGGGGCACTACTCAGTCGAGTGTCCTTACTTGGAGCTGGCGGACGCTCGCCCCACAAAGGGTCACAGCTCAAAATTGAAGAAGCCGCAAGTCCAGAAAACTACGAGTGCAAACTTTTTTAGAGTGAGAGTTGTAAACTCTAGGAACAATCTACCAGAAAGTGTTGTGTCGGCAACGAGTGTGAGCTCTTTCAAGACAAGACTTGACCAACACTGGAGCGGGTTCAGGTACACTCAGGCAAGGTAGGTAGCTACCTACCTTGCATTCAGGAGCCGGTGCATGCGCAGTATTTGCCAAAAGTGCGTGACAGAGACGTGACCGATCGCCCGGGCGGCTAGCAAGCCGATCTTTTGGTGAAAAGGATAATTGAAAAGGAAAAGTAATCAGAGACGTGACCGATCGCCCAAGCGGCTAACGAGCCGATCAGTGGCGAAGAGGATAAAATTTAAAAAAAAGTAAAATAAAGACAGTTAAAGCTTTTAACATCACTCACAAAGGATCTTGTATGCTTTAACTGTAATCAGACATCTCTAAGTTGACTCAAAACAATAGCGTTCTTTTTCATATTCAATTTCACTTTATAGAGAGGTTGTCAGAAAATGGGATACCACTAAGGCGTCTTGAGCGATAAAACATACCTCTCACTGAAGGAAAGCATAGCTTCATGTTTTGTGGGCTATTGAGCGTAATATGAATCGTCTGTTACGTTAACTGCGTGTATGACCGTGGTGTTTAATTTACGGAACCTTCTGAGTTTAGTCAGGTAGCTTCCAATTCTTTCTGTGATATGTGGTAATGTGTTTGAGTATGGTATGTTTTGATTGTTGACCATGATTAAGTAGGGTCAGGTTTTAGATATAAGAATTATCTTCAGTTTTTGTGTTTGTTTTAATTTTCCATTTCCTTTCATATTTGTTTATGATTTCTATTTCTCTGCTTGTTCTAATTGCCATAATTTGTTTGGATTTCCGTGGGTATTGAATAATTCTTCTATCCTCTTCACCAAAAGATCGGCTCGTTAGCCGCCTGGGCGATCGGTCGCGTCTCTGTTACGCACTGTTGGCAAGTACTGGGCATGCACCGGCTCCTGAATGCTGGGTTGTCATTTGTCAACACTGACCTAACCTTACCTAACCTAAACATAAAAGTGTTTTATTTTATATTTTATATATGAGACTGGGGTTTTGTCCGTTGGGGTTTTATCCGGTCACCGAGACAAAGTGTTCCAAAAAATATTCACATTTACAATGGTCCATGGTATCAAGGACTATGTACTGTCTCCAATCCTTGCATGGTATCATCATCCCGAAGATGTCATGCTTGTTTCTTCCTCTGTGGCCTGGGAAGTATCGGTGTTGTGTTGCTGGGGAGGGGGTGTGGTAATGAAGTCACGTGACACGGTAAGGATAGCTGATATATAGTGGTGCTCGGGTGAATCGTAGACTGAACTCTGGAGTTAATCAACCAATGTAAGTAATTTTATATGTATATATATATATTTTTTTTATAGTATATCTCTGGTTTTAGCAGATGATTTAATGTATATGCATTGGGAAATTGTTTTCGCCATGTAAAATAAACATTTGTTGTTTAAAGGAATTGGAGAAAAAGTAGGCTTAAGGTAGTAACGGTATTTCTGTGGATTATTGTACAAAATTTTGTTACTATATAAGCGGAGTTTTATTCTGATATATTGGTAGAGTAATGGGAAGTGTGAGAATTATGGAGGAAAGGGCGAAAGAACAAGAAAAACAGCCAATCACATCGGATACTAGTTACCAAGCTTGGAGGGGTCCGACTAATTACCCAAATGTACCCAAATATAGCCGGAATGAAGCCAAATAATGGTCCTACATGAATAAATCGGACTGCCAATCACTTCTCGACTAGTATTTGGTGTCACGAAGTCAAACAAAATTGGAAAACTTAATTTAACCTGAGTTAATAGATCGACTGCATGTACCTAACCTAACCTAACCTAACACAACTCAGATTAAATTAAGTTTACCAATTGTTTGTGACTTTATGACACCAAATACTAGTCGAGAAGTGATTGGCAGCCCGATTTACGCTTGTAGGACCATCATTTGACTTCATTGCGACTACATTTGGCTACATTTGGGTTAATTTGGCTAATTACTCGCTCCCTCGGTACAAGCACGCGATCTATTAACTCAGTTTAAATTAAGTTTACCAATTTTTTGTGACTTTATGACACCAAATACTAGTCGAGAAGTGGTTGGCAGTCCGATTTATTCATATAGGAACTTTATTTGACTTCATTGCGTCTACATTTGGGTAATTAGTCGGACCGCAGACGGGGAGCTCCCAGATTGCTACACTGGCAACTATTAACACCTCTCTTATCCAGAGAGATTGAGCCTAGTTAATACTATAGAAGGGTAAAGATTTGGTAGAGTACATAATTGGAAAAAAAGGTTTATCTACAGTATGTTTTTGATGGTGATCTCAAAGTATATGACCTTTATTTTCATCACAGTGAGTATTTTTAGAAATATGAATAAGACCCACTACCATTAACATCAACGGTGGTAATTATTTACATCACAGCCGCTGATTTTTTGGTAAATGTTTACAAGTTGCCCATTATGGTTTTGGACATGAAACTTACGTTTTTCTGGTGATTGTTTATGTGTTTTGAACGATTCTGACCCTTATTTCTATCGCAAATGACTCGTTTTTTAATTTGACAACCTTTGGGACCCGTGGGAAATCGGGGTTTTTGGGTGGAGGAGATAAAAAAACGAGCGATATGCTATATACAGTAAATGACCAAAGTTGGTTCGGATTTTCCGTTTTTAACAAGTATAGAAAAGCCAAAATTTGAGAATCTTGAGTCAAGTTTTGGCAAAAGATTATTATCAAATTCGAGTGAATCACAACAAAACCCATTGGAAAAACCTAGGTTTCATCTCAAAATCAGTTTCTGTGCTAACCTAAACCTGACCTAACTGCCATTGATCAGAATATATGTAATACCTAATGGAGGGGGGGTGGGGGAGAATCCCCGGTTGATGGGGGCTCCGCCCCCAGGACCTCCCAACAAAGCTCATATCGAAGCAACCAGCCTAACCTGACCATACCAAGCTAACCTAACCAAACCAAACCAAACAAACCTAACCAAACCAAACAAACCTAACCAAACCGAACCAAACTAACCTAACCTTAATAAGTGTGGGCAGGTAGTGGGTTGTCTAGCTCTCTGAGGATGCAGGTAACATTAACACTGGTCTTAGAAAATATTCATTGACTGCCTAACAAATTAATGTGATTTTCTCAAAAACGATTCATTTGCAACAGAAAGAAAAGTTGTTAGGAATGACGAGATATACCTAGAACTGGACCCAAAAATATTGTGGGACAATATGGGCAACTTGTAAAAAAATTCAAAATTTTCAAAGAAAACGAATATAAAAACACTGCATTTTCACTGTTTTATAGTGGACACTGTCATAGTTATGGCAAATGTGTTAAATGTGTTTATTTAAAAGTTCAGGTTACCTAACCTTACCTTTACCAAACCTTACTTTTTCCAAACCTTATCTTTACCTAACCTAACCTAACCTTACCTAACCTAACCTAACCTAACCTACCCTAACCTAACCTTACCTAACCTAACCTAACCTTACCCTAACCTTAACTTAACCTAACCTGGCATAGCTTAACACCTGCAGTGGACAAACTTACTGTTGTTACTGAGACAGGAGAAACGGTGAGCCACGGTGTTGAGGAACTGGTGAATGATTGTTGACTTTGAAGACAAATCCAGTTCAATTTCACAGTATTGCTGTGAGAAGTACTTCCCCATGAACAGGTTCATAAATAAGAGTACTTTATAACATTGTAAAAAACTGAAGGGTCAGATCGTCTGTCCTATGGAATTCGCAAATAATATCCATAAATGAACGGCGACACCCTTCACCTGCCATTATGAAATTTTAACTGGCTGAGCAGAGAGCGACAGCGCAGCTTGCGTGGCATATGATTCGCCGATTACCACTGCATAACCACCGAGAACGACAAAATGTAGTGCGCATATTCGTCTGAATATTTACCAAACTAAGCAATTTCCATAAAAATTAATATTATATTAGAACTCACTGATGAAAATATAGTAAGAATATAAACATTAAAACAAATAAATCGTCGGCTGTGAAGTCCTCCATATTAACCAGGCTTTGAAGACAAGGGAAACTGCAGAATAAAACAAAAGGGCTAATACCGTGTACACGAAATGTGGCTCTCAGCGGTTCAGTAATTATGGGGGGCGTTTTGTAACAGTTTTGTATACTGATTATTTTCAGTTCTATTAATTTTCGTGTGTAAATGCATAGTTTTCTAGATAGATTAGCACATGATTTCAGCCATTTTTATATTTTCCCAACATAATTCAGTATTTCTAATAAAATCAGTGAAAATTAGGTAAATTTAAATGCATTTTCAATAAAAAACAGTGGACAGTAATGTCCTGAATAACAATAAAAGAAAATAATAATAATAAAACCTGTGAAAACCTGACAATATTACCTGACAAAAATAAGGCTTAAGAGTCAAAAATGGTCTACCATGGAACTTTATACAGGAGGTCCCCGACTTACGATCGCCCGCTGATATGAACGGGGTTATAGTTGAAATTTACAGTATTTTATATAACCTGATGACTTATTTTTTACTTTGATTTCCTGTATTTTGTTATTCTATTTATTTTGTCTTAAGATAAGTGATTTTAGATGTATACAATGACTTAGGCTACGATATAGTTGGATTTTAAAATTGTTTTGTAAGTACGGTATGCATATAGCATGTGCTCCAACTTACGCACAAATCCAACTTTGAACATCCTCAGGAACGGAACCCTTTCTTAACCGGGGAGACCCCCTATATTGATATTTATATAGGGGGATAGAGCAAAAACCAAAAGTGTTATGCTAAGGCATAATTTGGTACTGTATTATAATGGTTGTAAATTAGGCTTTTTTATTATTTTATATTCCAAGCAGCAGTTATTCTGGCAAGTTTAGGGAGATTTTCGTATGTAGTATATTGAAGTATTATTTATGTTAGAATATTCTTTAATGTATTGTAAGCCTATATTCTCCAGTCATGTCTCGTTCCTACCTGGATATCGCTAGAATGCTCTAGACGTTTGATGAGACATACACTCCTCGCCATTGCATTATGCACGGGGTCGTGACGGACATAAACAACAAGATGAAATATTAATAACAAATTAATCTGAGAATTTAGCAAACTTCTGGTAGTCTATAGGCCTCCCTTTTCTCTTGATACACTCCTGCAGGCATGAAGAAACTGACTGCCAAGTTGTGGATTATTCGTGGGTCTAAATTATTCCACTCCTCACGAATGGCTGCCTCCAGCTTGGGGACGGTATTTGTGTCCTTGCCTTGTAGACGAAGCTTGAAAATGCTCCACTTATTTTCCATTAGGTTAAAGTTAGGCAAATTGCTTAGCCAATCACTTATGAAGTCTACCTGACAATAAACAAGCCATTGTATTGCATAGTTTGCTGTGTGACATGGGGTACCATAAACACATCAGCACTGCATTTTTCAAAAGACCCGGGCAAATAATCACAAAGCAGCTCCAAGTAGTTAAATTGGTTCATCATCACATTCCTGGGTAGCACAACAACATCACCAGTTCCAAAGTACGAGAAGTAACCCCACACCATTAGTGACTCAGGATGTTTAACTGTGCTAATAGTGAACTTGGGGTCAAGCGAATCACTCCCAGGGTGCCTGTACACATTAAAAGTACGACTTCCAGTAAAAGAAGATGTTGCCTCGTCACTCCACAGCACGTGCTGCCACTTGTTCGTATCCCACTGAGCGTTAGCCTTGGCAAAGGCGACCCTACACTGCCTCTGGACAAGGTTGAGGAGTGGCTGCGAAACTACAGGTCGTCATGTATGCGGCGATGAACGGTCCTTACAACCCTTCCTTGCCTGAAAATCTTCGAACTCTGTGCAAAGAAGAACCAGGTTGATCTTCCTTTAAATGTTCGTAAATTTCCCTGGCTCTTTCACAAATAAATTCTGTAGAAACTGAATCACCTTTCATTTGTTTTTCCCTAATCCAAATGAGAAGTAACCTCTCTGTTTCTGATATCAATGATCTACCTTTAAACAGTCTGGTAGAGTTGTCTCTCACTTTCACTTCCTTGAACTTGTCTTTCTGTGCAAGAATTGTCGACACAGTTGATGCCGACATGCCATAGTCTTTACTTAGCACATTGTTCTAATGCCCTGTTCATGTTTCTTTATTATTTCCTGTTTTACCTGTTTTCCTGTTTTACAGCAGCTATCACTATTGTGTGTTTCATGTTTCTTAGACATGTTCACATTCTTTTGCCAAGGCATGCCAACTGCATTTTAATAATAATAATACTGTATTGTAATAACAATAATTAATGGTTTATTGAAAAGCAC